CCGCTCGAGAGGAAAACTGACAGCCGCAGTTCCGGAGGCAAGAACTGCGTCGTCGTCGAACTTTCTAAGACCTCTTCTTTGTCCGACCAACGAAATCGATGTGCTAGTAGAAGGTGTTGCTGTACGTGCACTTGTCGACACAGGCGCCGTCGTTTCTGTAATTAGTGAAAAACTGTGTCGCGATTTGAGAAAAGTTACAACGCCGCTTACGAATCTTGCTCTGCGTACAGCCACCTCCCATTTCATCGCGCCGACAGCTCAGTGCACAGCACGCGTTTTTATTCAAGATGTTTGGTACGCCGTCAACTTTGTTGTTCTCCCACGTTCATCTTACGACGTCATACTAGGATGGGATTTCTTTTCTACCCATCAGGCCCTCGTCGACTGCGCTCGTGCTGAACTCACGTTGACGAATCCGTGCCTTGATATCGACCACCACAGTCCCTCCAAAGTGTTTGCCGCAGCTGACGTCCGCATCGCGCCGTTGTCCGCCGTCCTAGTGCCTGTGTTTTCTCCTGCTGCCACTAGCTCGACGCTCCTGTTCCAGCCAACTATAGCTAGTGTGCAACACCGAACCATCGTCCTCCCGTTTGCCGTCATCAACTTTTTCAATGGTTCGGCGGTACTTTATGCGTGCAACGTTTCTGCATGTCCGTACATCCTGCTACGCGGCGAGTGTCTGGGAAGCCTCGAGACCTTAAATTGTATTTTCGAAGACCCGATCTATCCAGACAAGCCATTTTTACCGACTTGTGCCATTACACCCGCAACGGACGCTAATGAACCTATAGATGTATTCCGCAAGTCCATTGATTGTAACCTCACCCCTGGGCAGCAGGAACAGCTGATCAAGCTCCCACAGCGTTTTCGAGCCTCGTTTGACGACAATCAGCCTTCCTTAGGTCGAGCGTCATCTGTTGTTCACCGTATAGATACCGGTCAAGAGACGCCAATACGGCAGCGTCCATATCGTGTGTCGACTACCGAACGCCGTGCCATCAATGAACAGGTTGACGACATGCTGACACGTGGCATAATCGAACCGTCAAGCAGTCCCTGGGCCTCTCCAGTTGTGTTGGTGAAGAAAAAGGACGGATCCATCAGGTTTTGCGTGGACTACCGGCGTCTCAACCGAATCACGCGCAAGGATGTCTATCCGCTGCCACGCATTGACGATGCCTTGGACTGCCTACAGGGAGCCGAATTTTTCTCTTCTTTAGATCTGCGCTCTGGATACTGGCAGGTACCCATGGCAGAGGCCGATCGTGAAAAAACTGCTTTCATCACGCCCGACGGGCTTTACGAATTCACAGTCATGCCCTTCGGCCTCTGCAACGCACCAGCTACTTTCGAGCGGATGATGGACTCTATCCTTCGAGGCCTCAAATGGAACGTTTGCCTTTGTTATTTAGATGACATTGTCGTCTTTTCAACCGATTTCGCAACCCATTTAACCCGCCTCGAGAAAGTCCTCGCGTGTATTTCTGCCGCGGGGCTGCAACTGAATCTGAAGAAGTGCCATTTCGCTGCTCGAAAGCTTATGATCCTTGGCCACGTGGTTTCAAAAGACGGCATTCTTCCTGACCCTGCCAAACTTACAGCCGTTTCAGCGTTTCCCAAACCGACCACCATGAAAGAGCTCCGAAGCTTCATAGGCCTTTGCTCTTACTTCCGGCGCTTCGTCCGCAATTTCGCGACGATCATCGCTCCTTTGACCAAGCTCCTCGCCGGCTCTAGAGACCTTTCCGCCTGGTCTGCCACCTGTGACGATTCTTTCAATGAACTGCGCCGCCTCCTCACGTCGCCGCCTATTCTGCGACACTACGACCCATCGGCACCCACAGAGATCCACACCGACGCTAGTGGTGTCGGGCTAGGCGCTATTCTTGCGCAGAAGAAAGACGGCTTCCAAGAGTACGTGGTTGCCTACGCAAGCCGAACTCTTAGCAAAGCCGAAACCAGCTATTCAGTCACTGAAAAGGAATGTCTCGCCATTATTTGGGCGATAGAGAAATTTCGACCTTACGTGTACGGGCGCCCTTTTGACGTCGTGACTGACCACCACGCCCTCTGCTGGTTGTCGTCACTGAAGGATCCAAGCGGTCGCCTCGCCCGATGGGCATTACGCCTCCAAGAATATAATATTCGCGTGGTCTATCGCTCCGGCCGGAAACATTCGGATGCAGACGCCCTATCCCGTTAGCCGCTACCCCCTGACCCGGACTGCTGCGAAAGTCTAACCTGTGATGCCACTGCCGTCACCATCGCCGAGATGCCGTCTGAGCAACGCAAGGACCCTTGGGTTGCTTCGATTCTAGACATCCTGGCTGGGCACACGGCTTCCCCCCCTTCTCGCACATTGCGTCGGCAAGTCGAGCACTTCGCCACTCGCGACGACGTGCTGTACCGACGCAACTACGCACCCGGTGGACGTCAGTGGCTACTCGTGATTCCACGTCATCTGCGATCCGAAATTTGTTCCACGTTTCATGACGACCCCCAATGTGGCCACGCAGGTTTCTTGAAGACTTATTCTCGCATACGTCTCCGATATTACTGGCGTGGCATGTACCGTTTTATACGACAATACGTTCGGGCCTGCTCGACGTGCCAGAGACGAAAAACTCCCCCTTGTCACGCCAGCGGTACCTTGCTACCCTTACCATGCCCGTCCCGACCATTCGACCACGTCGGCATCGATATCTACGGTCCCCTTCCCAACACCGCTGACGGTAACCGCTGGATCATAGTTGCCGTCGACCATCTCACGCGGTATGCCGAAACCGAAACTTCATCCCTTCCCTCGTCTACAGCAAAGGACGTTGCGACTTTCGTTCTTCACAACATCGTATTACGGCATGGAGCACCTCGGGAGTTACTGAGTGATCGTGGTCGCGTATTCTTGTCAGACGTCATCACAGCATTGCTGCGTGAGTGCCACGTCGTTCACCGCACTACAAGCGCCTATCATCCCCAGACCAATGGAATGACAGAGCGCTTCAACCGCACCCTTGGTGACATGCTGTCTATGTATATCTCGTCAGACCACTCCAATTGGGACCGAGTGCTCCCGTTTATCACGTTCGCTTATAATACCGCCATTCAAAGCACTACTGGGTTCTCTCCTTTTTCCCTCCTTTACGGACGCGAACCTTCTTGCACTATGGACACCATTCTTTCGTACAAACCTGACTCCTCAGAGTCCACGACTTTGTCTCAAGCCGCTACATACGCTGAAGAATGCCGCCAACTGGCAAGATCATTCACAACTCAAGACCAAGGACGCCAAAAACACCACCATGACGCATCAAATAACACTACTTCCTACGATCCAGGTTCACTCGTCTGGCTGCATGTCCCTTCGGCTACACCTGGCCTTTCTACCAAGTTGGTCCCCAAGTATCACGGCCCATATCGTGTGCTACAAAAAACGTCACCGGTGAATTATCTCATCGAGCCACTGGAACCATCTTCTGACCAACGTCGTCGTGGCCAGGAAATTGTCCACGTCTCGAGACTTAAGCCCTGCTACGACCCTCCCGTGTTTAATTGTCCATAGGTCGCCAGGATGGCTCCTTATTTCGCGGGGAGTAATTGTAATGAATTAATGAATCTGAATAACGGACGCTCTGCTGGCAATGAAGAAGACGACGATGATCGGTGGCTGCAGTAGTAGCTCGCGCACGCCGTTCGCCATTAGCCAGACCTGCCTGTTAAAGCTCATTTTGCCAAGCTGCGTCTGAACCTTTCTCGACGTACAACACCTCTATTTTAATATATATATATATATATATATATATATATATATATATATATATATATATATATATATATATATATATATATATATATATAACTCATATTATGTATATGTCGTGTATTGATTCACCATGTATTTATGCATTACGTGCGTGTTCTGTATGAAATGCTCAATTCATTCTGTACAGTTTCTTTGTTCTGTTTGACACCTTTTCATTTTCTGCTCACTGATGTTATTCACGAGAACCCCTTACACAACGGCCAACAGGCCTGTAAGGAATTTCAAATAATTACTCTTCTGCAAGTGAAACTGCAAAAAGTTGTCATCAGCATCGAAAAAATACATGCGTACAGCAAGAAGTTCCTTAAGGCAAACATTTTCCTGTTTATTGACAATATTTTGGTATCACCTGCAAGCCTTCGGCGCATTCCGTCGCACTTTGGGCAATGCAGACAAAGGCCGTTTCGCTGACAGATGTGGCATATCAGAAGCGAAGCGTTTGTATTTATTTAGTAACATGTATATGCCCCTTTCTGGCACGTCTCCTCCTCTGGAGCCCTAAGATCGCATTACACTCGGATGCTTGACTGGCCTGACTTCATGAATCGGCGGAATAAAAATTTATATTCAGGCAAGTAGAGTAATAATAACTGGGGTTAAACCTTTCGAAACCACGAGGTGATTATGCGAGACGCCGTTGTGGATGACTCCAGAGATTTCGACCACCCGGGGTTCTTTAACGTGCCCCTAAATCTAGGCACCCGGGCTTGAAGCAGCCACCGCAGACAAGACTCGGTCCCTCGACTTTCAAGATTGCACTCGAGTGCCATAACCAATAGACCAGCTCGGCGTGGCAAGTGAAATAAAGGCGTTTTCTCGATTTCTTTCATATTAGAGTAACGTACCTAGAGGCACGCGCAGAAGCATAATAACCGTATTTGAGCTTCAATTTCGAATTCGAATTGATGCAACAATGTCTGACTACTGAATACCTTATAGTGCCTGCGAAATTTTCATGAAACTAGAGAAAGAGAGAGAGAGAGTGTGTGTGTAGAAGTCTTTAATAATGTTTGAATGGACAAGGATGGGGTGGGAGGAACCTCTATTCATATGTCCATAGAATGACTTTGGCGACAAGTCGAGTTCGCTTTATAAAATGGCTCGGAGGACCTCCTGCCAGCACTATCTTCATTCATGTGTGCAAAGATCTTGACTGTGTAATAAATCTCTTTTTTTTCAGCTCCTCCAGAGGGCATAACTCCCAAACAGTACAGTATGATGCTGTGCAAGGACCCTGTAAGAGGGTAGTGAACTGCCGCTATTGAAATTTTTATGAGGAGAACCTGACGGAGTGCTGTATCGGTTCATAAAAGTGATGAAAGGTTCTTGCGCAACAAAAAGAAAAGCTTTGAGATTATGTCGGCGCGAATACGCAGTTCCACGAATAATAAATACTACTTGTATTCGGCTGAGTGAGCTTGAAAGTTCGATTTGCCACATGCCTCAACACACTCTCAAACGAAACACAACTACGATGTTTTGATGTGTAAGAGCCTCTATATTGTCACATGGTTGGGACGTTGACGAAGGAAGCGGTTGGTGTGTGAAAGACAGAAACCGCTACTTGCGGCCGATAAACAGAAAGTCAGATTACAGCAATATACACTGATACCAATAGCGGCGAATAGAGCACCGGCCGTCAATCAACAAGCGGGGACGCGGATCGGTGTTTGTAGATGTGCCATCGCATTTTACAGTGTTAACGCTAGCGGCCACGCAAGTTTTAAAAGAATCTGTAATAGGGAGTTTTAAAATAGCGCACCGCGAGCCCTTGCGGTGCGGTCGCTGCCAGTGCGCATGCGTCGTAACGCGAGTCAGCGTTCGCGTTCGCGGACCGCACGCAGAAAATCCGAAATCGCGTGCGGTGATGGCGGCCCGCATGTGGCCCGCAAGCGCTGGTTCCAGGCTACGATGTCGCTGCGATCGTGCGTTGCGGTTCGCAGCAGGGCAAACGCAATTAAAAAAAAAAAAACTCTTGTGGCACCCGCTCCCCCCGCAAAGCCCGCAGCGCTTGCAAACGGTAGTCTAAAACTCCCCAATGTTCGCACTTTGCCCGCAATTGCATCGGAAGGTTTGATTATCTCGATCGTTCTTAGTCAATCATCGTGGTCGCGCGAGGCAGCACTTAACACATGTAATGGGATGATAACAATACTTGAAAAAAGGTGTTGCAACATCTCCCTTCGATGAACCTTCATAAGTCTACGAATACGACTGTTCTCAAAGCAAAACCCTGCATCAGGCATGATACAGTGACGTGAAAGAAAGAAAAAGAACTGGAGAGGAGAACGTCATGATCACGTCATGATTGAGTGCCAAGTTTTGCTGACCTTGCGTCATTATGACGCCACAATAAGATGACGTCATCACGCGAAGTTAACTTTATGATACGTAGAGTCCACACGACACATCGTGACAACAGAAGAAATCCAACGGATACAAACAAACACTTAAAATGCGACGATTTTCCAACTTGTGTTGATGCGGGCTTTCGTGATGATCCCCAGAAAAGCCAAACACCCTTCCTTACAAAGCCCACACAGAGTCAGCAGGTATGAGTATCATGCTCGTACTTCTTCCGGTTGAAGCTCCTATAATGCAGTAATGCCGTCCATTGCAAGACTTTGTAGTTATTTCAGGGTCAGCGAAATGAAGGAAGCAATGAACGCAACATTCTTCCAATCCCGTGACCTTGCTATGTGGTGAAACTGGAATCATCTCTTATTTTTTGAAATACACAATCTTCATTCCATCAACCCTGAATATACAATGAGAAAAAATTGTAAAAGGAGGAGAGATGATTTAATGTACGAGGCTGAAAGAAGAATTTGCTTAACCTGTTTAGACACACCCACATGCAAGGAGTACATATTAGTTTTAGGCGAATATCTTTGTGCGAGCTACAATGCACACCGCGACGCCATTTGAGTCTAAATCAAGACGCCAGCTGCTGTGAACCCGTAAAAGCAAACAAAAGTAAAATAAACGGCGAAGTTGCTTATCTCCAATTCGCATTCTTACAGTTTTAATTTTCGTAATTAGGTTATTACTATGAATAATTGTTGCGTGCAGAGTTCTCTTCTCATTCACACGCATGGTGCGTTATAACGACTTACGTTTTTAACTTATTAGCAGTTGTATAGAATCAAAATACCAAGTAACATTTGTTTTGTTGCGAAATCACTATATTTGGTATCAGTTCTGTAATCCGACAGTAAAAAAAGAAAGCGCAAGTTATGCGTAACTTTTCCGATGTTGTTTATTGTTTGTCTATATATTGCGAATTCCTTAAGCATAGGTGTACGAGACAATGCGTTTTTTTAAGCCTATTTGCGTAGGAATTGTGGACATGAACGTAGCCATCGCTGCCTAAGTAGATTGGACAGTGCCGCCTAAGTAGAAAGGTTCTTTAAGGGCACCCAAATCTGAGCACATAGACCTACAACATTTCCGCCTCCATCGGAAATGCAGCTGCCGCAGCTGGGGGTTAAAATTTCCAGAGCCCTCCACTACGGCGTCTCTCATAATGAAATAGTGGTTTTGGGACGTTAAACCCCACAAAATCAATCAATCAATCGCAGCCGGGATGCGATCCCGCGACCTGTGGGTGAGCAGCCGAGTACCTTAGCCACTAGACCGTTACGGCGGGGCAAGAAGAAGACACAGCTCCGTAATGTGTGTTTCGTAAGTATGGTGGTTTTTGCCACGGTAAATAACTGTTTCAAGTGTGGTGCACTGCCTTCTTGTTCATGTCGATTAAAGATTCAGCTGACCCGCCATGGTATAGGTTAGTCGCTAGGTTGCCGCGGTAAAAAGCTTGAAGATGCGTGTGTTGATTCCCGGCCACACCGACTGCGATCCAATTGCATTGAAATGCGCAAACGTGCATGCAGCTATAGATTAGGAGATGAAGGCGTAGTACTCACATATATGACATAGCAACATACTTGTTTCGGCTAGTTGGAACTCTATTGAACTCCAACATAACGCGAAGTTCGAGGACGGCTGACGAGAGAATGTGGCCCACACAAGCAGCAACTCGTGACTGAATCTTTATTAAAGACACACATAATGTGTTTACGTCACCCCCACGCCTGCGCTGTTTCACATTCGCTAAACTAGGACACCCCAAAGTGATAAGATTCAGCTCTCAAGCTCACAGTTACGTAGAATAAATAAAAAAAGTCACTGCTTCGCCGCAAAGGCGAAGCAATGAACGCGATAACAACGAATCGGAAGGTCACGCGCAGAATGGCAAGCAGATCAAAACGTGCCCCGCGTTTCTCGCGCTTAAACGACACACAAAACCTACTTACAGGTACAGATGAACGCGAATAAGCGTCTCAGTTGTTACTTAGCCCTGTCTGAAAAGCACGCCCGTTTCGCAAACAAAGGATGTGCAACGATTGGAGTGACCTTTGTGCGCTCGGAACTACAACAGAATACGTACGAGACGTAAGATCTTCCCTACTGCAAGATAGGGGCACGCGATCAAGCGTACACCCCCTTATTCTCTCCGCGGGCCTAAGTACGCGTGACAAATGAGAGCCGCCGCGCGCTCACTGCGCCATCTTGCTGATAATGCTGAAAACAAGATAGTTTCCCTGCCGAGATGCCCGCCAACAGCGCTAAGAGGTAGATATAAATTGCTTGCCGTTTGAACTTCCGAGGAGGTACTCCACGGTTCCTCAGTGGTTAACGCCAAACATTCGCGACGCGGAGGTCCCACGTTCGATATCGCGCGCCGGAGGCTCTTTTTCTAGATTTGTGTCTTTCTTGCGTTTCCTCATATATAAGTACGTATACATATACAGTGCATGACATCGACGCCGGTGGTGAAATCCAGCCGAGAGCGTCCATACAATTGCTATCGCAATAATAAAAGTTATTACGTGGCACTATCAAGCGGTACACCTAAAAGCAATTCTTTCTTAGAGCTATGGAAGGAACGCCGAATCAGTGGCTATCATCTTTGGCGATCTCTTCTAGTCTACTTTTCTACGTAACTGTTAGTGCGCATGTTGTGCGCTGAATATTACCACTTAGGGCTGTCTTGGCTTTGGTCGAGGATGTGAAACTGCACAGATGCATGACTACGTATATATTTATGCGTTTCTTCAATAAAATGCACTCGCAAGTTAGCGCTTGTGTGGGCCACATTTTTTTTTCTGTAGTTCCTGAAGACCCCGGACCATTTTGTGTGCACTAGATACTAGGACCTTGGGCATCGGCCTCAGTTGAGCAGAAAGCAACTAAAGCACTGCTGCTTTACCTAAAGTCAACAAACCTGAGCGACCGCCTGTAGACTGTGTGTGCTCCCCGAGTGTGCTCGTGATTGTGTGTACCTTCTCATCTCTCTGCAACCTCTTTTCTCCCCTTTATCCCTTCCCCAGTGCAGGGTAGCAAACCGGATGCGCGTCTGGTTAACCTCCCTGCCTTTCCTTGCATCTTTATCTCTCTCTCTCTCTCTCTCTCTTCCTGAAGTTTGCACAATATAGCAGTTCAAAGTAGTACTCACAAATAGAAGCGCAAAAATTTAGGGCTAAGGAATGCTCACGCTTTCGTTTCCAGCGTCGACAGCATGCGTCATAACGGAATAATTTTGACTCGCAATCTTACATGACATAAAGCATTTACTTTAACGACCAGACTATCAATGGCATGGCGTCATTATCACCGCAGCAACAGCTTATGACAGCTATTGCACAAAAAGAAAATGATGCCGCGTTTCCATCCATGAGTACTGTTCCCTCTAGAGAAACCCAGGAGGGCAAATTTAACCCTGTAGTTGTTTTACCACTGAGAAAGCCAATACATTTTTTTAAACTGCGAAGTCTTTGCTTGCGAACCAAAAGAGCTTTGCCCGTTTCTATCCATCTTTCTAGGTGTTACGTCTGAATGTTTTCGTGGTCCCCTGCTTTATTTCGTCTATACCAAGGTTAGCCCAGGAACGTGTGATAGAATGACGAACTGGAGTCACAGTTCACTACATGGGTGCCATTACACGCCTTTCACTAATGACAAGAAACACTCTCCCGCAGTCATATGTGACCGTGGAGGAAGACAAAGAAAGCAGTAAGCATTACGTCCCACAGCCAGCCTTGGCAAGGCAACCCGTTTTGAAGCCAGCCGTGTCAGCCCAGCAGGTGTCCTTTTGCCGTGAGATCACGCAAGCAACGAGGCTTGCCGAGATTTAGAAGGATGGCGCCCAGTAGCTTTTAATCGAAACGCGCTTGTTCATCGCTGATCGACCGGCTCACGCAGGAGGTTCACAAACGGAACGCCACTGATAGTATTAAAAATTAGGGGACTTTTAAGCTTTCCCTGTAAGAGTTGAACGCGATAGTGAAATTCGGCCCCTAGTGCACCCTTCAACGGCTAAGTGCATACTTGTTCATATGTTTTGCTACATACATACGGACGCACACAAACACGCACACAGTAGATTGGACTAGCGAGCGCTAATATTGCCGAATGGGCTCGTTTCCGGCATGACATCTGTGGACCGAAATGTGGTAAAGGGGCCGTGAAACACTTTTTCAAGTGACCATGGGATGAATTCACTAGAAGAGCTTATTGCCTCACGAATTCAACGCCGCGAGAATTTCAAGAATCCATGCAGTGCGAGTGCAGTTATAAAGGTTTGTCACATGCTTCAATTGCATTATCTCTTCTCTGGTCTCGACAAAAGCGCTGGAAGCTAAGCAGGGAGGGGTGGCAGGGCAAGGAAAAAGAAACTACCACGCCTCATGACCTTGAGACCCCCCCCCCCCTTTTTTTTACTTCGAATGCGCGGCTTTTTCAGGGTCACTACACGCGCACGCGTGCACAAGCAACGGCCTCCCGCGGCTATCTCAGTAACTTGATTTTTCAGTCACAGACGCACAGACGATTTTTCACTAGCAACTAACGGGGCCGACGCCGGCGGCGGGTTTTCTGCGACACGAGCTCTTTAACGCTATCGCGTTAAAACCTACCGCACGCTTTCAAGTCATCATGTGTTGGGTCGACGCACTTGGCTTCACTCGTGTGATGCAGTGCTTCTTTCTTTCTCCTTCTTCCACCATGCATGTGACACAAACCTATAAGCACGGACCGTAGAATACGGCTATGTGCACCACAGGCGACACCAAGATATCTTTTGTAAACTTTAACACAAAAGCGTTAAGGATTGTGGGCGCAGCATACCTTATCCCGACTGGGCTACGAGACGAAAATCACGGTGCGAAAAAAAAAATAGAATTATGACTAGAGCAGGTATTAAACGTAGGTGTGCGTAGCAGTAGAGTACTTTATACTACTACACACTGCAGCTGCGCCATTGCTTTAAACTGCTTAGGAAATATTAAGGTGCCATGTCGTGTAAGTGTCAATTGCAGTGGCACCTTTGACTATTCGCATTTTAAAGAATGTAGCAAACATTACAAGTGTTCTCCAATGAGTCAGCAAACTATAGACTATAGACAAACAGTGTTCCATCTCGGAAGAATAAGTCATTGATCAATAGTTGTATATGCGCGTCATCGCAACGTAGAATGTACTTGGTTTTGATATAACCGACAACTGGTCTGCAGCGTTAGCGCTGGCATTACGCCGCACCAAACGGTACCCTTTAGGGGCCAGTGCAGTCGACGTACTTGGTAAGTGCACTATATACGCGCAATTATTCAACTTATACACAGGCGTCACCCCGCCTTGTAACAGTTTGCTCAAAGCAGAAACTGAAAGTAGCATGGGCAGCAGCTACTCCATGACTGCTTCACATGAAATCGATTCTTAGAATGCTTGAAATCTGAAGTAATTTTTTAAAATGCTGATCTTGCTAAGACTGATGGTTATCTGGGTAATTGATAAGCTGAGATATTCATCTGGATAAGACCTCATTTTTGCTTTAACGTTCCGATGGTAGAAAGAAACAGTAAGATGCACAGTAGCAGGTAACCTTCTGTGTTCCGAGTCGTATCCCTCTCTAACCGACTGTGTATCAGCTCTTCATTGCGTCGATTTTTTTATAATAATAATTTGAAGTCTGGAAGGATCCTTATTTTTTGCAGCCTTTGTAGAAGCCCGCCCCATTTATGACGGGGAGGTGTTAAGATGGGGAGGATGGGGAAGTGTTGGCTAATGATGAATGAAAGACGAGAGAACAAGGGAGAGGCCACCTTTTTAGTATGAGCGCCCACGCCAGCAAGCTCCTGGTCGGGGCACTTCCCTCCTGATTAAAAAATAAGGGTAGGTGCATAGCAGAATTGGAAGTCGAATCGAGTACCTTTCGCGTGGTAGGTTCATAAACTACCCACTTGAATGCCGCTGCTCAATAAACAGCAGAGGAACGCCACTTCACTGCTCTAGGGAAGGGGGTTGCATTCCTGAGGTGTACTGTTCTGCAAGGTCAAAGCAATGCATACGTATCGTAAACAATACGGTGTTATAATGTGAATGGCTAGGTGAGTTAGCGGTCAATGTCCAACAAGCACACTGGCGCACACAAATGAGCATGAGGCGGACCCCAAAAGAACGCTTCGTCGTTGTCAAGTTTTATGTAATCATTAGTGCGAGTAATTAAATGTATACCTGGTGATTACAAAAAAGGCACAATGTCACTTGTGCAATGGCATACGTGACGCTTACGAGGGTGAGAAACACGCAATGCGACTCGGGCGAAGGTCACCTGTGACATGCTCTTGACAATGAAAGCTACGACCGAAGATAAGACTCTAGAAAGTATGTAACTATAAGGCAGAATGATTGGACAGCACGGATACAGCGGTGCATGCTACTCTTATCTGACGCGCGATAGCTTTGTCACGACTAACGCAAAAATAATTTTGTTCGACGGCTTGTTTGTTCTTGCTTTACGAAGCCCACACGTAATGTGATCCATGTTTGCACAGTCCTTTGTTTCGTGCTCGCGTTCGAGCGTTTTGTTTATCAGGAGCTGCGGGGAGGCACGTGTGCTTGATTCTTAATATTTTCATGCATCAAAACCAAGCACAATGTTAAAAAATAGAAAAAGCAGGCCATACGTACGCCCCCGAGTGCAGTAAGCTAAACGGATGATCGTACCAGCGATCATCAAAGTCTCACATTGTCTGACGCGTTGTTCATGACACCACTGGCGATGGGCGTACGGCGTACCGAAAACCGCGTCACGCAGGCACACACACAAGCAAATCTCCCATACTCATATTGGGTTCGTGCAAGGGCCACTAGTCGCGTGCAGTAAGTTGAGACACATCCAAGAAACATGAGCTTCGTGTCACCGGGGCACTACAGCACTGCCCTGAAGCCCGCTCGTACCCATTGGAAACGGTTGGGTAGCTGGACGGCACTGGGAAGTGAACCTCGTATCTCCGGAGCTGGAAGCTGATGTCCAAGCTTTTCGCCGCCACTTTGGTCAACGCAAAGTTCTTCGACGAAGGGCTGCTGTTGTGTTTGCAGGTCCACAATAGGGACCTACATCGGCTGCATGACGAAGTCGACCAGTGAGGTACTGCTTGACGTCACTCACGCCCGATGCATTTCAAAAGTTCTTGAAGTTGAACTTTCGCTCGTTAGGCGTTTGTCTACGTGACACCTCATGTTTGTCTCATTTGCACCTTATTTCTTCTGGTAAAATTTTGAAAGTTTTTATCGATTTAAAAACGTCCTCTTCACCCTCATCCTGAGTGCGACGTATGTTGCCACGTTGAAGATCACCACAAACCCGATAAGCGCACCGGCACACACTTCCACACTAACTTCGTTCAGACCCAAGAAGTTCACGAACTCGGATGGTTCCGTGAAGAGGCAAGGAACTGAGCCGTCCTTCTCTTCGCCGCACTCAAGTTCAGGCCTGTCGTATCCGTACACGCTGAGGACGCACCCTTCGTACGCGTAGCGAACGAATGACACGTAGGATATCCAGTGGAGGTAGTGTGGCATCGCCTTCAGCGTCACCACGAAACCGCTGAATAGGAGCATAGGAATGGCCACGGCTGGTGCCAGAAATATCGCCACCTGAAAAAAAACGGAACAGGATTATTACTTTGGTGAGTGGGTCGGCTTCTCTGCGCTTGCGCGATTAGAGAGGTGTGACTCCCAGAGATGAAAACAGATACGTGGCACTTAAGTTGATATGTTAGAGCCTACAGTCGGAACGTCGCTACAGTAGCACGGCCAGCTAACACTGCGGGATGCATAACAGGTTCCATGAGCAGCTATGACCGCAGGATATGTGATTGCAAATTCCACGAGACATTGGCTCAATTCGTACACGACTTGACTCACGGCACGCACCTAGTGCACATATAGACAAATTATCATACCTTAAGGACAAGCCTTATCGCGATAAAGAAAAAAAAAGGCGAAAATTCGTGAACATGACGTGTCAGTACCAGACGTTTCGACAGGTGGTGCTGCCTTTTTCGAGGCAGTTGCTGGTACAAAGAAGACGAGATTGCTCATTGATACACCGACTTCTTTGACACGCCGTGTTCAAAAGTTATTGATCTGTTAAAGTTTTCACAACAACAACAATAATAATAATAATAATAATAATAATAATAATAATAATAATAATAATAATAATAATAATATAATAATATAATAATAATAATATAATAATAATAATAATAATAATAATATAATAATAATAATAATAATAATAATAATAATAATAATAAGCATTTCCGATGGAGGCGGAAATGTAGAGGCCCGTGTGCTCAGATTTGGGTGCACGTTAAAGAACCCCAGGTGGTCAAAATTTCCGGAGCCCTCCACTACGGCGTCTCTCATAATCATATGGTGGTTTTGGGACGTTAAACCCCACAAATCAATCAAATCAATAATAATATTAATAATAATAATAATAATAATAATAATAATAATACTACCTGGGGTTAAACATTGCGAAACCGCTATTTGATTATGAAAGACGATTAGTGGAGGGCTCCGGGAAAAGCGACCAACGGGGTTTCTTTAATATGCATCTAAATCTTAGCACGTGGACATCAGAAATTTTCGTCTCCATTGAAACTGCCATCGGGCTTTATTAAAAAAGAAGCACATGTAATAAGAAGTGAAGACGACGCCAGGGTTAGGATGATAGAAAAAAAAAATAAAGACGGGACGTGCATTATATGGTATACCAAGTTTCCACCATAAGATCTATGATGCCTCTAAATCCAAATTGCGGCAGCTCTCCCCATTGATTTTACTGTTTCATCAATGTTTCCACAATGCCCTGCTTTAAAAAAATGTGGAGAGCATATTGATGAGATTGGCCAGTGTGCTTGGAAATCAGCATCTAATGGATGTCTAGTAGGGGCCATAAATCAGGGCTCTACTTGCTGGTTCCTTCTGGGGAACTGCCCGGTAGTGCACTGGAGCCACTCTTGACTTTCATTTTCATTTATGATATCGTTAACTATATTACACAACCAGCTTATTTACAGACTACTACATATTGTATCAGGGGTAGTTCGTCGAGAGGATCAGGAACTTCAAAGTACTAACTTTCATTACAAAGATATTGAGAGCGTGAAAAACGAACGAAGCACCACGTATGGGACACAGACAAGCGCTGTCCAAGCGACTTATTCGCTCGCTGCTAAAACCGCGGATGATGAGGATAATTGATATCGACAGTATTTTTAACAAAACAATAAACCCGACTGCAAGATGTTCCTTGAAATGGCTAATTAGTGGCACGGAACTTTTCAACAAGAAAGGACCATCAGTGAAGAGTTGAAAGTGGTGTTGCAAGAGCAGCGCAAATAATTATCACCAAGTTCCTCGTTCTCCATCGACTACTCATAAAGAGGTGTTCGGGTTGTGCACCCTAGAAGAAAATATTTCTAAGAGACAAGATTGCAGAACCAGATTGTCGATTTCTTTTTCTATATAGAAGTTCTACGAAATCTTTGTTTTCCTTTGGCTCAACTACAACGAGTTAAGAGTTTTCCTCCGGTGGTTATTAGACATGTGGTCAAAAGAAGTATGCGAGCGCATCATCTTTGAACGCGATAGCGTTAGAGAGCTCGTGTCGCAGAAAACCCACCGCCGGCGTCGGCATCGTCGGTAGTGAGCGAAAAATCGTCTGTGCGTCTATGGCTGAAAAATCAAGTTACCGAGATAGCCTCGGGAGGCCGCTACTTGTCTACGCGTGCGCACGCGATTACACCAAAAAGCCGTGCGTTCGAAAAAAAAAAAATGTGCTCAAGATCACGAGGCGCGGTAGTTTCTTTGCACTGCCACCCCTCCTTGCTTATCTTCCAGCGCTTTCGTCGGTACGATAGAGAGGTAGTTCATTTTCAGCATGCGACAAACCTTTGTAACTCCACTCGCACTGGACGGATTCTTAAAATTTTGCGGCATTGAATTCGTGAGGCAATAAGCTCTTCTAGTGAATTCATTCATGAGTACCTGAAAAAGTGTTTCAGGGCTCTTTAACGCATTTTGTTTCGACAGGTGTCACGACAAAGACGAGCCCATTCGGCAATAATAGTGTGCGCTGGTCCAATCTATTGTGTGCGTGTTTGTGTGCGTGCGTGTGTATGTAACAAAACATATGAATAAGTATGCACTTAACGGTTGAAGGGTGCAATAGGGGCCGGATTTAGCAATCGCGTTCAACTCTTGAAGGCGAAGCTTAAGGGTACCCCAATATTTCATTCCGATCATTCCGAGTTCTCTTCGCTATGCACCACCTGCCTAAATGCCGGTTTGTTCTTCCTTACCTGCATGCTTGCGAAGGCACCGATGAACATGCCCAGGGAATGGGCGACTAAGGTGAGAAGGATGGACAGGAAAGAAAACATGACGAAGCGGCTCATCTCCGCAGGCTGTGACGTCATCCAGTATACGATGGCCACGAATACTGTTGGGTAGGCGACCTGCACGGAACCACACAAGTGGAAGCGTTTCAACACCACACACGTAACAATGATAGCTTCTAAATGTGCAGTCTGCAATCATGGCAGTAACATGCTATTGATAATAAAGACACAAGGTTGAGCTCCTACAGCGGAATGCTTCGTAGGATATGGTAACGTATACACACATGGTTACAAGAAAAGAAAATTAGATAGCATTCATTCTTTGTAGTTGACTTCCCTAGTGCCCCGCCACGGTGGTCTAGTGGCTAAGGTACTCGGCTGCGGACCCGCACGTCGCGGGTTCGAATCCCGGCTGTGGTGGCTGCATTTTCTATGGAGGCGGAAATGTTGTAGGCCCGTCTGCTCAGATTTGGGTGCACGTTAAAGAACCCCCAGGTGATCAAAATTTCCGGAGCCCTCCACTACGGGGTCTCTAATAATCATATGGTGGTTTTGGGACGTTAAACCCTACATATCAATCAATCAATCAATCAATCAATCAATCAATCAATTGACTTCCTTAGTGTTCTGTCCGACACGCCTAACTTAAGACATAGAAGCCGTCCTGAGTAGCGCAACTAAATCAGACCCACAGGATGGAACAGACGAGCCCAGGCGCCTGTGCGCGTCTGTTCTTCCTGTGTGTCGTGCTTATTTTAGCTCATGCTAACCTGTTTAACCTTGCTTATGTAAACCTAGCTTATGCACCACTCTGGGGAGCAATAACATGAAGCATTTGGGTAAATTCACTCCGGTGCCATGCAATGAAAACCGCTTGAAACATCACGAACAACCAGTAGTTTGTCTTAGAAGGCTCGTACCTTCTTGGAAAGCCCATTATCTGAAGCGTATTGCCCGAAGCCCACATGTCACTAATGTGACTTTTATGACTGACTCTTGAATAGCATCAAACGGGGATGAATAAATTTAACCCCTTTATTTAGATTAAAACCACGAGTGCTCTAACATAGCGAAAGTAAGTAAATAGGCAAAAAAACAACAACAGAGGAGAGTACCTGGAAAGGTAATTCGACGATGGTCTTGGAGAGGTAGTAGGCCTTTAGCGTGTACCACGAGTTGTTCCGTTCCCGCGTGAACACGGCGGCTTCCAGAGGATCTACATGTATATTTAAATTTGCGGGAAAAAAAATAACATATTGAAATCGTTTGCCCGGCAGTGTCACATGACCGACCATGAGAGGGTCAATTTTTTTTCAGTAGGCAATGACAGATATACATATAATAAGTGTGTATTACTGTAAAAATAAGTATGTCAAATAACGTCACAGGGATTGCAGGCTCTAACTACATTAAACCGCCCACTATTGTAGTCAGTGCAAGTTTAGAAAATAAAAGAAAATGCTACAGCCATCACAATCAGATGCCAGAAACATCGTGCAGTTTGACCAACTAGACAGGAGGTGATGATTTTTAAAAGAGTTTCTTTTTAATTGATCAATAGGATGTTTATGAAAAATGCAATGTTGCATTCCAAAGACACCTGCGACCCAATCCAACTATTTCTGCTAAGTTTACTGATCAGTTACGCGAGGAACAATTTAGTATACAATACGAAATCAGTATGCTGGCATAGCGAGGCTCTGTGGCATAAAGCTTCACTGTAGAACGAGGCAGCAGTTACAAAAGATCGATGTTTCAACAGTGAAGAGAAATGAAATTCGCTCCGAAAAGCCACCAACATCATCACATATTCAGCCAAATTGAAATAAAAGCTTCTTCATATTTCTTTCCTTCTACAGAAAGCATATTTTTACAATAAAAAAGGAAGACATTATGTAATAGGCGTGGACGATTTCATCGTCACTTACTGATCATTTGACTTGCCTAACTGCACCCTCCAAATAGTAACTCTAGTAGGTTAGCACCTTCTTGCAGGCGTGTCTTTTTTCCAGTGCTTGAAGGAGCATTTCAAGTCACGAAATGGAACCTATCATATATAATAATGCTCTAGCAATAAAGCAAATAAGTGTAAATGTCGGGGCTCGTTGCTTCTTTTGTTAGACACAATATCCTCATTAATACTCAGTTCTCATTATTACTCTGGGAATAGAGGGTCTTTAATACAACAAATATATAGGAAAGAAGAATGACTTCGTGAAGGGTTCGAAATTACGCGAACGTTGAATGCAACAAGTACGCCTCAACAATTCTATATTTTATTCACAATACTTTACTCACAGTTCAGGACTACTGGCATCATGCCGGTAAAGGTGAGGAAGATTGCGCAGAAGAAGACCAGGGTGGCGTTGTTGAAGAAGCTGTCTGCACGGCCCCCGATGTCGTAGTAGAGAAGGCCCATACACACACCGACCAGCAGGTTTGTGGTCAACCTTAAGTGGAACACCATCTGGAACGAATATGTTAATGGTTTAATGATGTTCCATTACTTTGTTTTAATAATTAGATGAACGACGTTTTGAACTTTTCATCGAGTTACGCCTTCATCTGTATGTCCTTCGGAGTTCTATGTTACAAGTAATTCATTACTTGCTAAAAAGTAATTTTTCTTCTATATTTTGATAAAATTGATTACTGCTTGGAAACTACAACATCCGGGGCAATTCAAAAATAATTTCTTGCAATCATCACCGATAATAAATTACTTTTTTAAAGATGAAGTTGTAACCTGTCTTCTAGGGTATCTCTCATCCCAAAAAATACGCGACTGCTTCAGGGACCACCAGTCCTGTGAATCAGGGGGTCCCTACTGAGCCTACTTCTTTTTTTTTTCATATTTTTCTTGGCGTCTGATGCAATGCCTTGCCCGATCGCAAGCAACAGCGAAACGCGACACCCCGTGAAGGGAAGCGACACTAGCATATAAATATTGCGCAACTGCGAGCTGGTGTGGAAAGTCTTCCTACGTTATGATACCGTCTTTCGCTCCAGCTCATGTACCGAGCAAGCCTTCAGTGTAGCAGCTGGTCTCTTAATGAGAAAAAGTGAAAGAATCAGTGATTGAAACGCTGCAAAACAGCTCCCATTCAAAGTTAACAACATGCTATACTTTTTACAGAAGCCACGGCAAGTCTCTCATCCTTCACGCGAGCATGCAGCCTACTATCTATCATGCGTCACTTACCGGATTTCTGATGAGCGACAAATAGCAGCGCTTGAGGAGAACGTTCATCTGCAGACAACACGGAGCAGGGGTCACTACTTGATAGTCCTCCTGTCACAAAGAAATGCAGAATACACTCACAGCTGTTTCATTGGACGTCGCCCTGTCACAGAGGCTAATTAGAAGACAAAAGATTGCCGTTGATTTTGCTAAAGATAACTTTTGCGGGGTTCAACGACCACCGCCGTAGTTCAGCTGGCAGAACGTCGCGTGAGTAACACGAAGATAGTAGGTTCGGAAATCTTAGGACAGGTGGCATCTAGTTTTTGCGTCCACATTCATCCACAATGGTTCCATCACTACTATACTTCTATTACATACTGCTGACATCGCTTCCTATAGTTTCGTTGAATAGGTTGGGTTCACATGATAATCTCTAAAAAGCGATGTTGCGATGAGCGGAAATGCTAAGTGATCTGCCCCGCCGCAGTGGTCTAGTGGCTAAGGCACTCGGCTGCGGACCCGCAGATCGTGGGATCGAATCCCGGCTGCGGCGGCTGCATTTCTGATGCAAGCGGAAATGTTGTAGGCCCATGTGCTCAAATTTGGGTGCACGTTAAAGAATTCCAGGTGATCGAAATTTCCTGAGCCCCCAACAACGGCGTCTCTCATAACCATATGGTGGTTTTGGAACGGTAAACCCCACATATCAATCAAGGTGAGTGATCTACAATGAACAATGAACGACACTAAAGATATAAAGTTGTTATTGTCTGTTGTTGAACACTTCGCCCATTGGATTCCCTGTGTTTAAAGTGGGAAGGAGGGGGAAGGTTTATTTGTGTGCGTGAACTGATCACTCTGCAAACACACGTTGTCGCTATTTTTTTTATGTGGGCAAAGAAACAGAAACTATATATGAGACAAAATTGGCCAAGCTTTAACTCTTGCGAAACTATAGTTATCACGAGTGAATGGCATGCTTAGCTTGATTTTGCAAAGGCTGTGTGCACACGTGACGCTGAAGTGGCAATGCTCGGAGGCGCACAGCTGCAGAGTGCATCATGTGGCGTGATTTCACGCCTGCCACGCACTTCGGCAACTCGAGGTCATTTCAAAGTGATGAATGACCTTGGGATGCATAGCGTAGTAAAGGTTTTCGCCTTAATATATGTTAAATGATGCCAACAGTGCAAAATATCAGGTGTGGAAAGATGAAGACAACGGGCCAACGCAATTCCTCACTGAACACTCAATTGTATACAATTTGAGAGAACAGCTCGCAAAATAGAGCTTGAGACAGATTATTGCATTGGCAAAAAAAAAAACGACGTATTTTGCAAAGTAGCACGGAGGATCGGGCTTGTTGGTATTGGTTCAATTTAAGTCTGGCAAGGCACGCACAGAAATAACAATAATAAAAGGAAGGAAAAACAACAACAAATAATTTCGTGTAAATAAGATGAACGAGCTCCACGAACAACTCCTCCGCACCGCAGGCAGTGTTGCAGAGCTGCTGCACCAAGTAGCTGCGCTTCAGCGAGATGACGAAATAGGCTGAATGCATTTTACGCGACCATGGAAGTGCTAACAATGACATACCCGAACAGTGACACGAAACGGACGAAATCAGAACAGAACAGAACAGAACAGAACAGAACAGAACAGAACAGAAGGTTCTATTGTGCTAAATGAAGAAGAATACATGTGCATGATATACAGAAACAGGTCCCATAGTCAGAGACTGCAAGGAGACCTCTTGTACAATGTAGAATTGAGAATGATTGTGATGTACATAGCAGAGAGACAGAGCTACAGTAAAATGCAATTGAAACAAACAAAGTAAGAATATACCCTTGTAATCTCACAGAAACAATTTAAAAGCAAGAATAACGCGCTAACTTCAATGACAAGTGATTACAGAACGCAACTCACAATGAACAGGAATCAATTAAGAAACAGCAAAACAGGCTAGTTAGTTGACATGATATGATTTTTTAACTTCGATTTAATTACCTTCAGCGAACGGCATACTTTAATGTCAGAAGGTAAACTATTCCAAAAAGAAATTCCGGAAAAATGAATGGTTTGTTTGCCATAATTGGTGCGAACTTTTGGCAGTAGAAAGTTATTGTTAAGGGCAAACCTTGTGACATTGTTATTTGAGAGAATGGTAGTAAAGTGTGGAAGTTGGTTATTTATAGTTCTATACATGTAAATACCAAGGTTATATTTAACTAGCTCAGATACAGTTAATATATTGTTTTCATGAAGTAGCGACTTAGCGTTAGAGAGATATGGGCTTGACGTGAGAATTCTTATCGCTTGGTTTTGAATTGTCTGAACTGAAGTAAGATGAGTGGTGTATGTGTTGATCACGCGTGTGAACGGGCATGTCACAGTCACCAGTGTGAACATCAATCACCGGGAGAAACACTTCGGTCCCCAGTCGCGAACCTCTGCGAATCAGCGGTGGGAGCGACACCGAAAAGCTTCGTCGCTTGTTTCCCTCGTCTATATGACCCTTGAATTCGGAGATGTTAAGATTTAAAGATTTAACGTGTATCACCAGCGCTACCAACTAATTGGTATCTTATGGAAAGAAAATAAAAACGTGAGCATACCTGCGTTAGCAAAGGGGCTGTGACGGCATGGGGTTCGTTGAGATCTCCTCCTTCATTGGCGATTGACTTGAGGCCATTGCTGGTGGGGGAAACTTGGCTGTGCCGTTCAGCGTATCGCACGAGATCGCCTTTGACGTCACCGTATTCGCCCGAGGCGACTTCAATGACTGCATTCAGGAAAGTAATGAGAGAACATTGACGACTGAGGGTGCCCAATATCACAACGTTCTTGAAGTATACTTTCTAGACACAATATCAATGAGAAATAACCTACATGGCCTGTTAGCTTTCATTGTCTGTTAGTTCTCAGTAATATTGTGTCTAACAAAGAATAAGCCCCAAGATTCGCGTTTCTTTCCTTCATCCAAGGTACTTGTTGAGAGATATTTTGATATAGTGACATTCGGGGATGCTGAGATCTAGATCGGCACTTTCACTTGGGTTGCTTTCGAGGCCTCCGTCTATTTAGCTGCCTCTGGCATACCATTTGCGATCATTTTACTGCATAACTGACTCCAATAATCTCTATAACGGGTCATAAATCATGCGCTATAGCGTTGGAACAAGATGCCGTACATAAGGCGCAGCAAAGCTCCACGTTGAGCCCAAGGTCTCTGCAATGCTTATTTGGGAATCTGCACCCAGTCGTAATCACCCAGAATATTATGAGCTCATCAACAAGGTTATCTCTGAATACTCCTCTCACCAAAGTCGGCAGGGTTGTAGAATGCCGGGCACTGTAGACCATTGGCGGTCAGGGTAGGAAGGAGGTCCCGAACGGTGCCGTGGTATAAGCAATAGCCGTCCGCCAGGACGTATAACTGCGGGTCAAAATAAAGAAGTACGTCAGTTTTCTACCCTAAAGGTGTATTGTTTGTAATGATACCAATGGGTTAGAAAAGTGGGCTGATAGTTTTACCATCCACGTATAGTGCAGAACACATTCAAGCGCAATGGTCATGCAGCTCTGTCGTAACAGCGGCGTTACGAACAGCGAGATAGATAGATAGATAGATAGATAGATAGATAGATAGATAGATAGATAGATAGATAGATAGATAGATAGATCTGTACAGATGACTATCTTGAAGTAGTGGCAGCAGAAGCAATTGGAAATGTTTAATATGATAAGCTGATATATTATCAGAAAATTATGCAAAATTATTAAGCTCCTTTTAATAAGACGAAGGAAAATTTAGAAAATTATAAGTTCTCATGTTGTTCCCGTTGGTTTAAAATAAAATATAATAAAAAAATTTCGCCGCAGTAAACAGATTGAACAGTGCATATAAAATGAAATCATGCCCCAGGCGCCTTACCAAGGCCATGGCACATGAGAAACATACAAAAAATTGCCTATTCTGCGAGGAATACAAAGCGCAACCCTAAACAAGCAAAGATGCGCAAAGCGCCACGCTTACTCTGTCGAAGAGCTGGAATATTCTGGAGCTCGGCTGGTGTATACTGCATGTGACCGTGTGACCCTTGAGGGCGAACTTCTTCAGCGTCAGGATGCACTGCAGGGCGTTGGAACTGTCCAGACCACTGAGACAAGGAGATAAAATAAATATCAAGTTGACAAAAGTAGTCTAAACAGCACTTATTCGTCTACATTAACGCAGACGCTTATTCGTACTCTTGAATGGCTCTGTGAATCACATCTAGAGAGTTTTAATGCGAAAGATACTGACATAGTAGCCTGTATGATTGCATTCGTTAAGATGAACAGGCTGATATAAAATAAGCTGCGTCATCTACGACGATTACTTGTACAACAAGCAACTGCTATTATACGTGCATGTCATAATGCGAGAAAGTTTCACATAGCGCGGGACATTTTACGTTTCGCACTCTTATGCGTCAAACTGGTCCATCTTCTCTTCGATGTTCGCCAACAAAGATCGCTTGTGCGTCATATCGTCGAATATGGCTGCCCCATCTGGAACCTTTACAACAGCAGTACGCTCGAATCAGTTAGCCCGGAATTCAATCTTCGCAAAGTTTCAAGATTGCTACTGGTATTGTTTACTCGCTAGCAGTATTCAGAACGGTATACTTCAGTAAACGAAGGAAGAGTACAATAAGAGAGCCTGGTTTACGGTATTCATTTGAGTTACTTGCAGAAATAAGGGTACACAGGGTAACGGACAGGTGGACAAATCGGTTTCGCACCGCCGTGGTGGCCTAGTGGCTAAGGTACTCGGCTGCTGACCCGCAGGTCACGGGATCAAATCCTGGCTGCGGCAGCTGCATTTCCGATGTAGGCGAACATGTTGTAGGCCCGTGTGCTCAGATTTGGGTGCACGTTAAAGAACCCCAGGTGGTCGAAATTTCCGGAGCCCTCCACAACGGCGTCTCTCATAATCATATCGTGGTTTTGGGACGTTGAACCCCCCTATCAATCAATCATAAATCACAAATTGCTTTCGATTCATAACAATGCAAGAAAAGGGCGAGACACTGAAGAAAGAGAGAAACGATGAGTATTTTCGAGAGCTTGACTTTCTAACACTTGCGTAGCGTGGTGTCAAATTGACAACATATTTTTTGCTTTCTATGTTTTCTCTATGAAACATCCCTGTTCTGACTATTGTCATGATGGGGTTGGCTTGAAACATGTATGATTGTTTGCGTGCAAGCTGCATAAAAGGAACGTTTTTCACACACACACACACACAAAAAAAACTTCTGCAGTTCTTCCTCTGTTGGGAAAATGATGGCAAGCGAAGCATGGCGTTCGTGTGTCTGAGCTACTGCTTTCCTTTTCTTTCTTTCATTCTCGCTCCTTATTTTTTTTTCAGTATTGCTAGAATGCTACCTCCCACTCCCTTGCTCCATGCTGAGAATGGGACCTTCATACACGTGATTAGTAGCACAACACTTCACTTGCTACAGGCAACAATGACGGCCATGCGTTCATATTCTCCCAGAAATGAAACATGACATAGCAAGTCACCTCGGAGAAATATCAGATTTCTGCACCACGATCGGCAGATCGTCAACAAGCCCGCAATCGAGAGAGAATGAATGGTTGGAGAAACGATGCATCCATACGGGTACGCGTGGGACCGGCGCACCATCTTGCGCCACGTCTTATTACACTCACTGGAGCCGGGTTTTTTGCGTACGACTTCACGCAGTTCAGTGCCTTACAGCAAGGTTAGCGTGAATGCCAAACGCGAAACAGGCACGCCGAAAGCGGCCTCCCGCCGTAAGCGCCGTAAGCGGCGTAAACGCGAAATTATCATAGCTACGGGCGCCGTACATGACCGCGGCGAGCACCCAAACAACCTTCACCGCTTGGACTTCCTGACAGCTCCGACGACGTGACAGCTCAAATAACAACAACAAAAAAGAAAGACATATATCTTGTTTCTCACGCCCTCTAAATTATCCGCCGAGATAAACAAGACCTTGGCCTCCTGCCAAGCCTTTACGCGTTCGCGGTATTAAGCGTCACACAGAGGCGTCGCATGCAAGCCTCGCTACTCCGTCGTCGCGTTATCTTGGCACGCTGAACATCTGAGCAGTGAGGCCAGCGCGGCAGAAGAAACCGTAATATGAGATTTCTATCTAGATAATGTGCACAGCTAATGGACCAAGAACGTCGACTGCGAAGATAAGTCTGGCTATGTACCTATTTTAGCGTTAAGAGTGTTAGTTCTGCTCTGAAGGCGCGTATTGCTAAGAGGCAAGGTGCGAAGAATGTTTGCGCAAGTAATAAACCCGCTGATTGGATAGATAAGAGCCAACATTAGGCTGCTACGTATATAGCTTTTTTTCTTCTTCCTGACACACACACACACACACACGTAACGTCTCTCTCTCGCTATATATATATATATATATATATATATATATATATATATATATATATATATATATATATATATATATATATATAAATTGAAGGGAAGGCACGACAGGTCCGGGTATTTTCTATATTGAATAAACTTGCAGATAGCACATTTGAAAAGGAAATTGTATTTACAAACGTTTCGGCCGTGGCCCCACAGCTTTCGTCTATATATATATATATATATATATATATATATATATATATATATATATATATATATATATATATATATATATATATATATATATATATATATATATATATATATATATATATATAGTATAAAAAGAGGTCGACAAACGTGCGAAAAAACACAAGTTTTATTAACGTTTCGGCAGGTGGGCCTGCCTTCGTCGGAGTGAAAAAGGCAGGCCCACCTGCCGAAACGTTAGTAAAACTAGTGTTTTTTCGCACGGTTGTCGACCTCTTTTTATACTGCATTTTCCACCGGATCCATTGAATATCACCCCACCATATATATATATATATATATATATATATATATATATATATATATATATATAAATGCAGTGGCGCTCGACATAGGCATACATGTCTAGCGCCACTTTTGTTTGGTGGGAAGAAAATTATGTCTGCTTGCCACGACACAAAACAATCCGCTGGGCGTGGTCGTGTTCTTCTAGGTAATGCACGGCCTCTCGCCTTTGGTACAGATTTGTCTCTCTCTGTTATAAATCTGGTTCGAATGCAATGAAATAAACAGTCCGAAGAGTGGCATTCCCTCTCTTGTTTGTACGTGTGCGTAGCGTATATCTATCTTTATTTTGCACTTTTATGCATTAGTTCTTACAGCACTTAAGAAAACGATCTTTCACAAGTGATTAGAAATGGTTCGAAAAAAAAAAGATTAACAGCCGATCCCACACAACGAAAACAGAGGCAAACGGCTGCGACTGCAGGTATTAAGGCAGCAACTAGACGTTGTCTTCACGCTCCTTCACGCTTACGTGCGGGTTAGCGACGCCTCAGTTCCCTTTATTTTTAAATATTTCGAGTGAATCACGTGCATTCGTACCAGTCCGAAGGGCAGCTGTTGACGATGTAAGTGTGGTCTCTATGTAACGCATACACTTATTATTTTTACATCCGTACTAGCACGGTTAGCTTCTCTTTGTGAGGGTCCTGCCGCACATCAACCGCGACACCCATCACGCGTGCTATCTTACAAGGTCTCGCTGTTGGCGCACTCCGTCGTGTCGACATTTATCTGGGTGTTGCAGAGCGATTTCACCGTTGTGCTGCAGCTTATCCGTTCGAGGGTGTTAGAATCACCGAGCTAGTGTTTTGGCTCATGCCGTGGCAAATGCCGCTTGTATTCGGCGCACAACGCGAGCCCTCATGTATTTCTCCACGTGGTCATGCCCTGCCGAGTGAATTTCACTAGTGAAGATGAGGTATTGCTCTGAAACGTTCGCGCGAGTGCGACTGATGGCTTCAGTCCACGCGGAGTAGGGCTACAGTGACACAAATTCAAGCTGCCCAATTTGTCCGGCACCAGTGTTGGAGGCAGACAAGAACCACCTCTAATGGACGTGCTCTAAGTTACAAGCGGCTCGTTGACGCTACGTGCGATGTGCGACGCTTCAGCCCACCAGGCCGCCTGGTTGGCAGTGATGAAGACATTACTAATCAAGTCCTCCTGAACTCTATGGAGGAAACACAGCTGAGCAATTTTGTGTAGAGTGTACGGATGTCTTAAGACTAACTAACGCAATAAACAAGAAAAAAAAGTAAAGAGATGTATGGAAGTACAACCACAGGGTTGTGCGACACTTGTGCTAGAGGCATCAGCACAGGCGAGGGTTAAGGCCACCTGTGGCGATATAGGGCCCGGGGCGTCGAAAAATTGTTTTACTACACGTCCTTCTGTTTGCTGGCATAAACCATCAGAATTCATCCTACCATCAGAACCTACCTTTCAGAACCTACCCAGTTTCGATGTAGCAACTAATGGAACAATTGTCTGCTTTAGTATACCCTGTTGGGTTGCGTGAAGCGGGATGGCTACACCGTAAGAAGCTACGAAGAAAAGTGGTAGTCCTGAAGTTTTCTAACAGTTCTTCCTTCCTACTCAGCGGCTGTCTTTGCTGCGCTGAATATTATCGAAGCGGTTGATTCACACGGCCTTGGTTGGTAATATGATTGATGAATGGAATAGCTTATACCTTGCGAAAACATTCATCTATAGTTGCAGCAATGTTAGGTTTCTGGTAAGCCTTCATCGTCGAAAACAGCCACATGGCACGAAAAAACAAAGAGAAAAGCTTACCATGGTGGGCACCAGAATCTTGCCGACAGAGACTAATAGCAGTGTTTTTTGTCATGCGTACAAACAAGCTGCTTAGTAACGCGTCTGCGCTTAACCAGCTCGCTCCGAGTGCGTGGGGAAAAAAGCCTGCGGAAGAGGCGCTGACGCAGTTTTGAATTCGTGTTAAGTACTAATTACACCAGGCGTCGACATACACGTCCGCAGCGTATTGGTAGAGCCCTGCAACTGGCGTAACTTTCATGCACATGCTATCAATTGCAGCACGTTCCTCCGTTCATAGTTACGCACTATTTCGGCAGTCAAACAAGACACCGACTACCCGGTGGGCTGAAGCACTCGTTACGAATAAAATGCGTTGCTCGGCTATTTCGAACAGGCATACGTATATACAGGAAAGCGGAAAATCGAAAAACAAGGGCAAGAGACGAGGCAACAAGTACTGTCATTAATCTTTCGTTATGGCAGAGTCGGTTCAATTTATGAGGAAGAAGCATCAGCGCGAACGTGCACTCACAAGAGATATACGACGCGCAGAGCTTCCGTGTATGCGTTGTATCTCTCGTGTGTGGTTGTTCGCGATAGTACTTCCCTACTGAACCGTGGACCTTGTTTTGTCGTCCTTATTTTCCTCGTCTTTCGATGCGCCGCTTTTGTAGAAGTAATACGCAACCACCAAGCTCACCTGGTGGGTTCGTCAAGGAACAGCACCGGTGGACTGTGCACGAGTTCTTGAGCGAGCATGACCCTCTTCCGCTGACCAGTGGAAAGGTTCCTGACCTGCCGGTTCTCGCAGGTGTCCAGACCCCACAGCTTGAGGATTCGCGTCACCTGCGCCAATTGAACCGGCTGAATGAACGACGTCTTCCATATAAAGGACCTCAGTTGTGTAGACATTTGGAGAAGCAAAGATGACGTCGCGGACGTCCAAGAGACCATAACAACGTGGCAGTTCTTTGAGTGTGCCACCATAAAAAAACGGCAACTTTGATTGCGAGAATAAAGCCAGGACCTACGGAACCGCCAAGGTTGTCTTATTAGGCTATGCGTATTTGCTTCTTGAATTACACCTTAAACAATTCGGACCCTGTCGAACAATGTCGAAAGAAGCGAGAGCAAACGAAGATAGGCGTATAAATGCCTGACGTAGTATACTCTTGTAGCGTAAGCCACACTGGCCGAGGTTGAGGTTTCGCGTCGCTTATCTAAAGCCGTATTGCGCATGCCCGAGTTTCTTTCTTTCTTTCTTTCTTTCTTTCTTTCTTTCTTTCTTTCTTTCTTTCTTTCTTTCTTTCTTTCTTTCTTTCTTTCTTTCTTTTCTTTCTTTCTTTCTTTCTTTCTCTATTTCTTTCTTTCTTTCTTTCTTTTTTTCTTTCTTTCTCTCTTTATTTCTTCGCATTTACGGAGTTGTCTCTGCTACTACTGTCTGTTTCTCCATGCCGGGCATTGGACCTCCATACACGTTCTTAGCAACGTAGCATTTCAGTTGATACGGTGAACAACGAACCAGCCAAAATTAAATGTACCAATGAGAAACGACAAGTGACTACGACAAAACAGCAGATTGTCATATATGAGAAACGGATGATCACCGAGAAGCTCGCTATAGACAGACATAATTAACTGTTGGATTACTGCGCATGCAAAGAGGCATGTGAGCGGGGCACTTTAAAGGCCTGCATTTCTGAACAATCGCTGGAGCCGGTTTTTTTTTCTTTCTTACAATGCCACCACCGAATCATATCATAATGACATCCGGAGTCTTACGTCCCAAAAGCACGATATGATTATGGAAGACACCACAGTGGTTGACTTCGGGAACTGCAACCGTCTGGTGTTGTTTAAGGTGCACTGACATTGCACAGTACACACGGGCCTTTACCGCTTCGCCTCCATCCAATTGTGAACGCCTCTGTCGGGATCGAACCCGCGACCTTTGAGTAAGCAGCACAGCACCATAATCACTACTCCACCGCGGTGGACGCCAGTCATAGCAAGCGTTGCTCGAATAAAGAATTTGGCAACGACAGCCTTTCACAGCCGTGAACTAACATGCCTTAACAACAGAACACTCAACAGCCGCCCAGTCAGCAGAACAATGCTTCGTGTTACCGCAATGCCTCTCGAAAGTGTATCATTGTTACCGTCGCAGACTTATGTCTTGAAACCGGGCTTTTGCCTGCTTTCAAGCGGCTGCGACACCATGAAGACCCTTTTTACACGTGTGCGCTAGCAGCGTGATGTACAGGTGTCCACCCTTCAGCTATCACGTACTGTTTTGACAGCGAAGTCAAACTGATTTCGAAGTTGGAGTGACTATGGTTCGGGCACGTCTTTCGAATCGGTCTGTAACTATACGTCCTTTGAGGACGCACCACGTACCACGTTTCGGAATGCCGCTTTCGAAGGTATACAAAACAATGATCCTACGAGGCTGAGTAGCCCATAGGTTACATCAGGGATTGCGCAAGAATCACGCACGTGTTTCCTTGTTGTTTTCCTTAAAGGCAGTTTCTTTCTTTGCAGGAAAGTGGCTCGCTGTCGAAACTACCCGCGACTGCTGCGTACCCACCAATTATAGATTATGCCGCCACCTGAGGCGGCGCAAGTTATGATGCGAAACAACGAGTCGAGTCGATGACTGTAGTTCATGGGAGATCGCCGTATTGTGAACGACACCGGAGGCCGAAAGAAAAATGTTAGTTCGTAGAAACGGGGGATGATGTCAGACTGATGGTACGGGTCTCTTTGGACTAATACTATACCGTATAGAGGAAAACGCAAGAAAAGGAGCTGTATACGATTTGCGCTGATAGAAAAATAAATAAGGGGACCCTAAAGCTTTGCCTTTAGAAGTTAAACGTGATAGCGACATCCTGTTTGTAGGGCGTACATCAAAGACTTAGTAATGAAACCTTTCCGAACTTGCTCTGCACCCACTACGTGACCTTAACGGAATAGGCGCAGCGTGCGACTTGTTTTTAAACAACGAGCCATTATGATAATCACACGTTCTGACGCCCGCTGGCAACGGGTGCTTGAACCACGCATGATTACTTGAATATTTCATGTTGCACTGTGATGCATTTATACAGGACGCATGTGTTTGTGTAGCATGAAGACTGTGATTTCACTGCATTTTCAAGCAGAGTTAAGTTCTTTCCAGTGTATTCACAACCAGACGCGTGGCTTTGTGGTAGAACATCCGCTTGCCACACTCTGATCCCCACTCGAACCCGAACGACCATAATTCGTTCCCCACTCTGACCCCATTTTATTGGCATCGTTCTTAAATTTACGGTCATTTTTGGCAACTGAGGACATGTGTACTACTGTTTGCGACGATCAGTGTCTCACTTATATATATATATATAAAAACAACGTAACCAGATGGCGTGCTTACCAAAGTACTCCTCTCTTTGTAGGTGACGTGAGGGGGCAGTTTGAGCTTGGCCGCGGCGTCCACCGTTTCGCGCACGGTCAGGTGTTGCAGGAGGTCCTCGCCACTGGTGACGTAGCTGCTGAGCTTCCGGAAGCTTCTCTCTTTGAACGGCTGCCCGTTGACGAAGAGGTCTGCCTGGAAACTTCTGGTTCTGCGATGCAAACGGGACGATTGATTGATAGGTGGGGTTTGACGTCCCAAAACCACCATGCGATTATGAGGGACGCCGTAGTGGAGGGCTCCGGAAATTTCGACCACCTGGGGTTCTTTAACGTGCACCAAAATCTGAGCACGCGGGCCTACAGCATTTTCGCCTTCACCGAAAACGCAGCCGCCACAGCTAGGATTGAATCCCGCGACCTGCGGATCAGCAGCCGAGTGCCTTAGCCACTAGAGCACCGCAGCTGGGCAATGCAAACGGAAAATGATCGAAGTGATTGAGAGTAGGTGGAAAACGGCAAGAAATTGACAGGTGAACAAATGACTCTGTACCATGACGAGAACAACCAAATGCCAAAGGTCAATTTATTTATTTATTTACACTCGTACTCGCAGCGCCATTTAGGCATTACAGTGGGGGGGGGGGTTACACGGAGAAATTATAAATCATACATTTCAAGAGAATTGCTAGTGAAAAGCTAAGGAAAAATAGTGGCATACATTGTTGTACTACACATGAATTACATAAAGATCAGCTAACCTAGACGAAGAGAGAAAACAAAAATGAAATTTATACTGTACAAACATAAAAGATACAAAAACGAAGTGATAAGAACTAAACACTGCATAAAATTCGACTGCAGCCGAAGACAGAATGAGATGTCAAAGAGCGGCCGCAAAAGCTTCGTTATCGATTATGCTGACCTTGTCAGCAGGCAGACGATTCCATTCAGAAATAGTTTTGGGGAAAAAGTGCTTTTAAAAAGATTAGTACTGCAGCTATATTCTTTAACCTTGAGCTCATGATCTGTTCGTCTTGATACATAATAAGGCTGAAGAATATACTGATTACGATCTATTCTAATGTGGCCATGTTATATATTGTGAAAAAGCTTCAAGCGCAAAATTTGCCTTTTTTTCTAGAAGCTCCCATTTTAATGTTTCGTTTGTAGCAGTAATGCTAAGGTTTCTCGCATAGCTACCGATAACGTATCTTGCCGCCTTGTTCTGAACTCGCTCAAGCTTGTCGCAATCGGCATTTGTGGGAGGATCCCACACAGTGCACCCATACTCTAATATTGGTCTGACGTAGCTCTTGTGGAGAAGATCGCGGGCCTGCTGTGGAAACAGCTTTGTGTTACGCCGCAAGAATTCCAGCACCTCACATGCCTTTGCAGTAACGTGGTCGACGTGCCTGTGCCAACACATGGATGATGTAAGGAATACGCCCAAGTACTTATACTCTGAAACAGTTTGTAAAGGTGAACCAGACAGACAATAAAGTGTCGATGCTATACGTTTTTTTGTGAAACTCATATGAACATTTTTCTGCACGTTTATTTGCATATGTTATTCACGGTACCAGTTTTCCATTTTCATTAAATCATTTTGTAAAAGAACGGTATCGTCGACGCTTGTAACTTCCCTATATATTATTAGATCATCAGCAAACAATCTGATGGAAGAAGCGATGGTGTCGGAAAGATCATTTATGAATAATAAAAAGAGCAAGGGGCCCAACACTGAGCCCTGAGGGACCCTAGGTGTTACGCTAACCATACCCGATTTTGCGCCATTTACCACTACGTACTAAGAACGCAAGGACAAGTATTTCCGAAGCCATGTTATCACCTGTTCATTGATATTAAACCAACGTAGCTTACATACAAGCAGCCGGTGATCTACGAGGTCGAATGCTTTCCTGAAGTCTACAAATATCGAATCAACACAGGAGCATTCATCCAGTAAACTACAAACTTCGTGAACAAATTCTGTTAATTGAGTTATACAGAAAAGCCCTCATCTAAAACCATGCTGTCTTGGATTAAGAAGATTTTGATTGGTTATGTGTGTCATTACTTTGCTGCACAAGACGTGCTCTAATATTTTGCAGGCTATACTTGTCAGGGATATCGGTCTGTAATTGTTGACTAGTTCACGAGGACCTGATTTATACAATGTCCTTCCTGAAAGAGACAATGAGGCATAGCTTGAAGTGTCCATGTTTTATGTTACTGGAGCAATACTGGAGGAGGGGTCGAGGAGCGTGAGGTGCAAGACTAGTTTGCAACACATGACCTTGAAAACTCAAACTGCGTTTGGTACGCGACACCAGAGTAGAAGAAGACCGACCGATCGCTCACTTGGTATCGCGCTGTATACTTCTATTCTCGGGTCTCGTGCCGAGTGCAGTTAGACTTTCCATATTAAAGGTAAGATGACGTAGTGCCAAAAAAAAAAAAACAAGAATTCGGCAGGTCTCCAACAGTGCGGGAATTAATGGCATGTCGAGCATTCAGCGTACCGTAAGCAATGCCAGTTTTTATTTTTTTACTTTGTGCCAAGCGTTAATAAATAGAACTGTGTCCGTGTTTAAATTGGGTGGAGTGCATGCTATTCATCCCACGCACGCAAGCATGCCGCCGAGTATTCTGGAGCGTAATTGATAGCTCGTGTTCTGACGTGACGACGACAGTCACGTCAGAGCAGAGACATCCGTTTGATAGCCATGAAGTGCACGCTACGGTGCGGTGATGTCTATAACTATGGTTAAGCACAACAATTGACCATAGTTTGCAGAGTCATAAATGCACATATGCAATGTTTACTGCATTGATAGAAAACTGGTTAGAGAACATTACGAACGCATGTGGCATTGTCCTGGCAGAACACATTATACAAAGCCTTTTCTGAAGCACTCTAAAGTAATGTAGTGTCTATTTGGTAGAATATTTGACTGCCACGCAAATTCTTTGAATTCGATTGCACCCCAACCCGGAATTTTCATTCCTTGCTGCTAACAACAACTACACAACGACTTCGGCACCACGCTTTCAGCAACGCGTGCTCCTGCACGCTGTAACGTTGTGATGTTGTAAAGACAAAAACGCCGGGCAGGATGGTTGAGGACGACGAAGTGACGAGCACGGGCAGCAACCACGGTTGCTACGAGGAAGACGACGTTGAAGCGTCTGCTATTTTGTTCCGTCTCGTTTTTCCTGGTCGCACTGTCATCCTGTGTCCTGTTCTTTCCCCGTTGCCACAATACGCAGTCTGAGCTGACGTGGACAGTGTATCACCTGCATGTGTCACGTACCAGCATGGTGCGGTAGTTCTACGTCAGCACGCTATCAATAAAAATGATTTTGTGACCTAGGCAACACGGATGCTCCGTTATTTACGTCATGGCGTGCAAATACTGTTCGTCACGGACTGAAGTCCACCTCTACTGATTTTGGTATACGTGAAATTAAGGAGATGAAGAAGAGGATGCTGAGACGTATGGCTAGGTAGATAAGCCTGTTGCTTTTAGTTCACTAAGAAGATATGTTAGGCATCCAAAACACAGAATGAGTGACAGCAAGCACAAGTGCTTATCAACAGCTGAAAAAATTTTGTGAATGAAAAGTGTAAATAGTTCAAATCAAGATTTTTGTGACAGCACACTACTTGTAGGTCTACAAGTAAATAAATCAAAACTCAACTGCTCAAGTGTGCAGTCCAAGTGTAGATCCAGCGCAACTAAACAAGTGCTGTTAGCTTCACCAAGTAAAACAAAATGTAATCGAATAAGCTCGAGGCCACCCAAAAATATACCTGATCACAAGTAATTACAAACATGTATACGAAAATGCATCTTAAAAAGCCTCTGGGCGTCGACGTCATCGAGAACCTCCCAGACGGGCGTGCCTTATCACAATACCCCCCGCAGGGCGCGGGTTCGAATCCCGGCTGCGGCGGCTGCATTTCCGATGGAGGCGGAAATGTTGTAGGCCCGTGTGCTCAGATTTGGGTGCACGTTAAAGAACCCCAGGTGGTCTAAATTTCCGGAGCCCTCCACTACGGCGTCTCTCATAATCATATAATGGTTTTGGGACGTTAAACCCCACATATCAATCAATCAAATCACAATACCACTCTGTCGGCTCGTAGAACCACAAGAATCAAAATATTATCTTATCTTCATTTTTCATCCTTAATTATTTGTCTACCCTTTGTTGCACAATGAAGTAACCCAAATTCAATAATTGAAGTAGCCCGGAATCTTTCTACAGCTACTTGTGTACTTCCGAACATAAATGGAGCACTCTGTTATCTAAAACTTATTTCTCCAGTCTTAATTACTCATGCATCTACCCTGTGTTGCACAATGAAGCAACCGCATTCAATAAATGATGTATCCCGGATTTTCTATACAGCAGCCTGTGTGCAGCCGAAGAAAAATATTACACTGTTATCTTTATTTTTCCAGCATTATTTACTTATCTACTATTTGTTGCACAATAAAGTAGCCCGGATTCTCTTTACAGGAACCTGTGTACAACCGAAAAGAAAATAGGACACTCTGTTTGTTCAGAGGATGTCGCTGTCTCGTTGATGATCTTGAACGAGAAATGCGATTGCTTACTGGAATCCGGCAAGGACGTTGAGCAGCGTTGTTTTTCCGGCACCAGACGGACCAATGACGGCTGTCATCTCTCCGGGGTGTAGGCTTCCGCTGACGTTGCGGAGTAGTTGCTTTGTACCTGCAGTGTTACATTCTCGGCTTTACGACATGTCATGACAGAATCGATTTTCAAAAAGCATGCATAGCATGCTCTCAGCTACTTCATAGCCACTGTTACTAAGAAAGAAATGAGCGGACCGGATATCTAAATAAAAGGAAGTACGAATAGTAATAAATACACAGAAACAGACCCACCGCGGTGGTCTAGTGTCTAAGGTACTCGGCTTCTGACCCGCAGGTCGCGGGATCGAATCCCAGCTGCGGCGGCTGCATTTCCAATGGAAGCCGAAATGTTGTAGGCCCCTGTGCTCAGATTCGGGTGCATGTTAATGAACCCCAGGTAGTCGAAATTTCCGGAGCCCTCCACTACGGCGTCTTTCACAATCATATGGTGGCTTTGGGACGTTAAACCTCACACATCAATCAAAAGACACAAAAACATGCTTACCTGTGACGACAACGTCGCGCATATGTGCACCAAACAGACCGCCGGTTTAGATACCGCAGGTTTAGTACCGTAGGTTTACGCGCCAAAACACGGATATATGACAATGAGGCACAACATGCATATCCCGTACAACATACCGTAACGTGGGATTACCATGCGCGTCTGTTTACGGATTGAACTGGCCTTATCAAAGTCTTAATAAGAATAAAGCCTCAGAAGCCATACGAAACGTGAAAAGTGACGTTCGATCGGGACACGAGTGACGCAAAACGTCATCATTTGGTGATGACGTCATAAGGACGTGACATGAGGAAGTCATTCCATGTGAATAGCCCACCTTGGGCACTTGCTCTATAGGGTGCGCCGATTTTAAAGGCACACAAAAACCACCCGAGGTGCTCAGAGCTTTTAACGACTCCGGTCCCAACCACAGTGCGAAAAGACGTTGGTTGCAGTAGCTTTCAGGGGGAGGCAGTAGGAGATGTTCAACACAACAATAATATCTGGAGTTTTACATTTTAAAATCACGATCTGATTATTAGAGACGCTGCACCTGGAGGGTTTCTAAAACATCGACCATCTGGCGTTCTTTAACGTGCAATGGCATCGCGCAGTGACACGGGCATCTACCATTTCGACTCTGTCGAAGCGTGACCGCCCCTCCGGGATCGAACCAGCGAACATTTAGCCAACAGTTATGCACCATAACCTCTGCTTCACACTTGTGGGCTGATCAACACAATCACCAAAGACGGAAGAGAAGACTAGGCCAGCTTGTCGAGCACCTCTTGTGCGAAAACAGGATTCTGGCACACTGTGATTGGCTGTACTATTTCGGTACGGGCGAAATGCAAGGAAACGTGCGGTGTGCTTAAGTTCACATTAGCGTCGCGGAAACCCAGGTGGCCAAAGGAAGTCCCCAGCTACACACTGTCACATGGTCGTATACATAGCCGTGTTGACCCGTAAAACGTAACGACTTAAATAAACTTTAGCGATGCAATACAGCGACGACGCCATGTTATAGTAGCTAAGGTACTCTGCTGCTGACCCGCAGGTCCCAGGACCGAACCCCGGCTGCAGAGGCTGCATTTTCGACGGAGGCGACAACGCTGTATAGGCCCGTGTGCTGAGATTTAGGTGCACGTTAAAGAACCCCAGGTGGTCGAATTTTCAGGAGCCTTCTAAGACGGCGTCTCTCATAATCATATGGAGATTTTGGGACAGTAAACATCACATGTCGATTAATCAATCAATCAATCAATCAATCAATCAATCAATCAATCAATCAATCAATCAATCAATCAATCAATCAATCAATCAATCAATCAATCAATCAAATAATTATTTATTGATCAATCAGTCATAAAATAAGCAATGCATTACAGTGTTTCGCATTGAGCGTAAAAGGAAAAGCTGATGATGATGCTTGAAAGCTCACTCACCTTTCCCATCTGGAACTTTGTACGTGAGATTTCTCCAGGCGATGGTCGTCGGAGCGACCGGCGCGTCCACGCCATACGGGCCGTCGTTGACTGAGGCTGGCACTATCTGCGGCTTCATCTCGATAGCGACGTCTGCGGGCATAAAACGGATGAGAGAGAGAGTGAGCATGCGCGCCGACTACTGTTTGGTGGTTACGGGTTACCGGTTTTAAAAGCATGCAGGAGTAACAACCTCGCCAGCGACATCTGGTAACTCGGAGCGTAACTAGATGCGCAAAACGGTAACGTGGCAGTCACCCGTGTTACTGAGCCGATGTGGACCACAATCTTAAGTGATTGGTAACTTGTGGACATCTCGGTATTAGCGTTTCACTGGAACAATGATGCGAATGAGTATTCTTTTCGAGTGCTTGCAGTTAAACGAAACGCCACAATATGTGCCCACCTGTTTTGACCCTCCAGTCAAAGACTGTGGTAACTCAGTGCTGCAAATAGCGGGAAGCTCACGGATAAGCCAAATGTGCGAGGAAGAAAGACGTGAACGCTTAAGAAATTTTCGGAACATTTCGTTTGCCCGCAAGAGAGGAAAAAGAAAACTGACCTAGCCGGTACCGGTATTCGAAGCAAGCATTAAATATTCATGCCCAAGGTCATACGTGTGGCTTGTACGACGGAGGCCAGTCGTATATGTGTATTGATATCGAGTGCTTGTGTAACGCAAGAGAGCGCAACTGAGCATTGCGCAAACGAGCAGTTAATCACGGTGAAGGTGGTGGCATAATACTTAACCATCCCTCAAAGAAAAAAGTAAAGGTGAGGGGGCGGGAGCTTACACTTGCCGTGTAAAGCTGGCTGTTCTTAAGGGCTTAATGGGGCCTTGTTGGCTGATAGTAGGTCTTGGTGCCGGTAGCCTCTGTCAGATCGGGGGTGGGGTAGCGGTAGTAAAGTAGGAGTAAAGAAGAGAGAAGTGAGCCCCGCAACAGTCTTAACAAGTATGAAACCTCAGTAGTAGCTCACAAGCGATCGTTTAAGCAACGATTATAAGTGATAGAGAGAGAGAGGTAAAGTTGTAAAGTGAAGAAAAATTGACGGCAGATCTACGAGGTGAATGACGATGAGATTGGGCGAAGCTCCTGGAAGTAATACCATGAAATTTTCTTCCGTTAATTCGCCCGATAAAAAGCACCTGGCGTCTTCCGTTAAGCAGCTGGCGTCTTCTTTTTGTTTTGCTTTAGAAACATCTGGCGTCTTTTCGTTTTGCTTTTAGAAAACATCTGGCGTCTTTCGTTGGTCTATTTCATCAATAAACGGCGTTTTGAACAAAATTTTTTTATTGTTTAGTCACGCACAGGAGAAATCTTACCAGGCGCTACCTTGGAGGTAAACAATGGCTGCTACTGGGAATGAGAGACAGCAGAAGTCGGCTCTTAACACTTCTACTTCTACTAACGTTTCCTACTGGAACATGCCAATGACTGCAAATGGGGAATGAGAGACAGGAGCAGTCGGCTTTTAGTTAACGCGCACGCCGCGAACTTTTTTATTGTTCAACAAAGCACAGGAGAAATCTCCCAGCGGCACCACCTTGCAGGTCAAAATGTAACACTTGTTGCACACTACGACTACGACTACGAAGGACGAACGGGTGCCGCTTTAAGGAGCTTCGCCCCTAAAAGGTGGGGAGACGGTAGAAAAATTCCGAGTACGGGACATCAAGCGAAGAGGGATACACTGCACCAGCAGATCGCGGACATCAATCGGACAGGTGAGAGCTACGCTGCCACCTAGAAGATCGTGGACGACACAACTATTCAGCACGAAATCCATTGAGTGAGTGCCCCGTTGCAGGGCACGGCAGATAAACGACGGCACGGAGTGTTTTTTGGCGGCACCCGACGTCTCACCCCGAAGTTTAAGAATTTATCTTTTAAAAGAACAAAAAGTAACGAAGCGCTGATCCTTCACTTTGTCCTTTTGTTGATGTGTCATAACGAGTGTAACCATCTTCACCGTGCTCAACTAAATGCCTGTCCAGTTGCTGGTTCGTTCGAGGAATGCCAATACAAAACGTGCCTTCGTAATGTAGCGCCATAGTCATGTGAAGTATTCAAAGACTTCAGGAAGGTTAACCAGGCGCACGTCAGGGTAGAAAACCACTCGTAGGTCTGATTAACCGTCCTGCCTTCCTATACTCTTTCTTTCTCAATGATTTATTTATAAAGCACCTCTTAATTACGCATTCAACTTTGCCTACCATGCAGCGCTTCGAGATAGGTAATAGTGCACTTGAAGTTGTGAAAGACTATGTCTACTTAAGACAGGTAATAACCACGGAGCGCAACCACGAGATTGAAGTAACTAGAAGAATAAGAATGGGGTGGAGCACATTCGGCAAGCACTCTCAAATTATGACAGGTAGATTGCCACTATCCCTCAAGAGGAAGGTATATAACAGCTGTATCTTGCCGGTACTTGGCTACGTAGCAGAAACCTGGAGACTTACAAAGAGGGTTCAGCTTAAATTGAGAACGACGAAGCGAGCAATGGAAAGGAAAATGATAGGTGTAACTTTGAGAGACAGGAAGAGAGCAAAATGCATTAGGGAGCAAACTGAGGTTAAGGATATCATAGTTGAAATCAAGAAGATGAAATGGACATGGGCCGGGCATGTAGCACGTAGACAGGACAACCACTGGTCATTAAGGGTAACTGACTGGATTCCCAGAGAAGGCAAGCGGGTTAGGGGGAGACTGAAGTTTAGGTGGGCAGATAAGATTAAGTTTGCAGGTATAAATTGGCAGCAGCTAGCAAAGGACCGAGTTGACTGGCGGAACATGCGAGAGGCCTTTGTCTTGCAGTGGACGTAGTGAGGCTAATGATTATGACGACGACGACGACAATGATGATGATGATGACCATGCTAACTAACGGACCTTCATACACTCGAAGCACAACCGTCTTGGAGGAATTTAATAATGTTTATATTTTGCTTTTCACGTTACCACTTTTGTCGGCATCGTCCGCCACGGTAGATTAGTGGCTTAGGTGCTCGGCTGCTGATCCGATCGAACATAGTGGGTTTGATCCCGGCCGCGGCGGTTGCATTTTGGTGGCGGCAAAGTGGTAGAGGCCCTTGTACTGGGCGATGTCAGTGAGCACACTTTAAAGAACACGAGACGGTCAAAATTATCGGAGCCCTCCATAAAGGTGTCTCTCACAATGATATCGTAATTTTGGGGCGTAAACCCCCCGATATCATACTGTTTGTTGTGTCGGGAGGCAGGAGGCCAATTTCAGCCGTAACGACAACTTAGCGATGTGATTATTTCGCCGCTGGAAAGCCGCGCAAGTGATGCCAACAGCCGTAAAGCAATTTGTGGACGACACGTGCCTTAAGCGCGGGTGTGGGAAGTTCTACTATGTAGCAAGTCTACCTGAGAGCGATAATGACCAGCAATTTCTTGAAACACGTTGATCGCCCTCTCTTGTCCTCGTTCATTTGGCACTCGCTACAGAAGGAAGTAAGATGCCACTGAGTACGCCTCTTGCACA